AGTAGTATTACTATTACAACTGTCACCTGTTTACTTTGCTGTTGACTTCTTTGTTACCTAATCCTTGTTTTGTCGGAGAGCAGAACTACGTTCAATGATTGGTAGATCTACAATGACCTGCTGATCTGTATAAGACTAGTCTTTATCAAGGATAATAATGACGATGTACATAGGTACAGTCATGGTACATGTACATGTAGATGTACATCATGGCTTGTAAGTGTTCCGGTACGTGTACAAAGGACGCGGGTGATGAGCTGAGCTGACATGATATCATTCCATTATCGATGAGAGTGAGCTTTTGCAGGAGGACGTCTGTGCGTGTGTCCGGGCATCTGGAAACCAGCCCCTTCACTTGGCTTTAGTCTTTACCCACACTGTGATGCTTTCCTAGCTTGAGACCATGGACTAGTAGTAGTCCATGGTAGTCTACGATAAGAGGCGTAGCGTCCGATCCGCAGCTTTCATTTAGATTTCATTTAGACTTTATTTGAAGGATTCTCCAAAAGTAAATGGATACTTATCGGGGGAGTTTCCTGGAAGGGTGGATGAGACGAAAGGGAAGTGAAAAGGGAGAAGGGAACATAGTACTTAGCAGAAACACTGCTCAGGGAAACCTACAGGTAAAACCACCAGGGAGAAACAGAATACATGACGAGACCTTTATAGATACGAAAATCAGGAATTCCAGTGGTGGAGAATTTATACGTTAAATAATGGTCCTTCAGGAGAAACCGAAACTTAGCAGAAGATCGCTCCCTGCGTAGGCTCTCAGGAAGCTTGTTCCAGACAACTGATAAACCGAAAAGAGGAGATTGAAAGAAATGAGTTCCAGAACGAGGCAAAACGATAGAGGAAGGGTGGCGGCAGCTGCTGGAGATGGTGAAATTAAACTGGCTCAGTAGTGCTGGAAATTGGTAGAATACATGATGAAAATAAACTAGAGAGAGAATTTGACGACGACATTGGAGCGATTCCCATTCACACAGATGATTCAGAACATTCTTGGATGTTGTCCAAGTAGGAAGCTGTCGGGTCTTACGCATTAGGTAGGATCGGGCAGCAGTAGCTTGTAGTCGATCCAATGTGCAGGATTGCGTAGACGACATGGCGAACAGCCAAACAGGGACAGTACACTCCAGTAAGGGTCTCACGTAACATTTATACAGTAAATTGATGGCTGGTGCGGGGAGACAACGGGTCATGTGGCATAATAGAAATACTCTACTGCGATTCTTACTAGTGATTTTAGTAATATGGTCCGAGAGAAACTAAGATTCGGGGAAAGGGTAATACCAAGGACGACAGTGCCTGTCAGCCGTCGTACCATCGATCGTAACCTCAGTGTCATCCATTTTGAAGGGGGGTGGGCAGGGAGTCACAGCATGTTTCCGAAAGGACACATGAACACACTTGCTGGTGTTAAACTTCATGGCAGTGGTTCTTGACCATTTGAGGCAATGTTCAATATCAGCTTGAAAGCTGGCACGGTGAGCGGGCACTGACGCTTTAGGCGGGGAAACAAGGATTAAATTGAGTCGTCAGCAAAAAGAGAGAGAGTACTGGAGACAGGGGCATCAGGAAAAGAGTTTATGCATAGATTAAAGAGGAGGGGGCCGAGATGAGACCCCTGAGGCTTTCTCTTCTCTTCTTTTTATTTCTTTTCATTTCTTCGCCTCTCCAGGAAGATGTGCAGTGGAAGTCATCATGGTCATGTAGATCTACAAGTACAATGTAGTTAGTGCAAAGTACAATGTACATGACATTACGTAGTACAATCGTAGTGTAGGCGCGTAGTATAGTAACAACTGGTGACCATGGTGACGGGAGCTGATGGCCCTCGCTGCGGAAATGCAACCCCAGCCGGGCCCAGGCCGACTAGGTATACCGTATAGGCAGCAGGCTCTGCTCACAAAGGGCGTATCGGTCAAATGGTCCAACCACTTCAGCACATCATTTTTTGTTAGACTCCGTCACCATGGTCACCCTGGCACAGTTTAGGCTTAAGGCTGCGTTCGTTTTTAGCTACCTGGTAGAGTAGAGTAGAGTCACTCTACCAATAGAGGTAGATGGTAGAGGCAAGTGTACGAACGCTGTTCTACCACATCTGGTAGTTTCCACGGTGTGTACGTGAAATGTTTCTTTTTTTTATGGAGTTGTGTACAAATCCTTGATCTTGCTGGAAATGCCGTAGCTCTACCAACTTCTACCGGATTCTACCAACTTTTTCCCGGTAGAGCCGGTAGAGGAAAGTAGAATCTACCCTTTTGAGAAGAATTTTTTTTCAAAAAACGAACACCTCTACCGTAAGAAGTAGTTTCTACCCAAACCTGTAGATCAAAAACGAACGCCCCCTTAGTCTTAGATGAGGTACCGGATCATGCTTCCTGCTCAGTTTTGGGCCAAGGCCGCAATAGCAGCTGACAGCTCACAGAGATGGTTTGTTTCGGGGGCCTTGGTAATCCCTATGGTAGCAAACTCGGCAGATGCAGAGCATCAGCCTGATCAGGCATCACTTGCTATCACAGCGCCAATAGTGAATAGCTCGATGCCCACCCAAACGAGAGCGACCAAGACGCGCCAGCTATTGTCCGTACCAAAACTCGCAAAGTGTCTTGAGTATTGCGGAGGGAGTGGCTAATCCTGTTCTCGAATCCGGATACCTGAATTGGACACCTGAGTTTTCAAGCATGCATGTGTACCATACGCCTGTAGGGAGAAGTTCGAATTACTGCTGATCTCTCTGCTCTCCCTCCCCGTGCAGTTCAGTAATCCTCACGTAGTATCACAGATACATCGTATTCTCCCCTCTCCCCCCCCCCCCCCCGTTTACTCGCAATTATTAGTATCCTAATCTCTTACTATATGCTTCCATAGCCTTTACTATGTTCTTCCATAGCCACTTCTAGGCTAAGCCCTCGCCGTCATTTTATTGGGTCGTCATCCCGTTTGAATGTGCGAAGTAAAATAAAAACCAACCAACCAACCAATTGTGTTGGTTTGGTTTGGTTTGGTTTTATTATTTCAGTTTGTTGCCTCAACAGTACAAAGTACAAATATCAAGAGGGACGAACGAAAAGAGAAAGTAAACAGGGCAGAAAGGAAGAATCAACTGAAAGGAAAGAAAAACGGAGAGAAGCGGAGAAGGAATGTGGACTGGGCGGCTTCATGAACCATTACTAGTACTAGAGCGGGGCAAGACATGAATAGCACTTTCCCAAAAATACTCGCCACTTTTTTCGCAATTTTTCGTTGTTTAGGAAGAAATTATTATTATTATTATTATTATTATTATGACGGATAACCCAAAGGCAATGGTACCTAAATCAGGGGGTGGCTCCGGACCAAACACAGAGCAAGGAGCTCAGCCAGCAGAAAACGTCAGAAAACAAATAAACAAAAACAGGAAGCCTGGGATGTCAGCCGTACTTGCAGGGTGCACTGGACAACAGCAGCACATGCACATGCGACGGGAAAAATATAAATATGAAGCATCGGATGTCAGAGAAGTACGTGCAGGAGTGCGCCAGACAACAGCAGCACATGCACACGCGACGGGAAAAAGAAAGAAAAACACAGTTTAAAATCCAGGGATCCCAGCAATGTCGTAACAGTACTGAGAGAAATGACGCTTTAAGTCTCTTTTGAATGTATGAGCATGTGCAATCTCACGCAAGTCCTTTGGCAAATTGTTCCATACAGCTAGGGAATGAGAGAGAACATGGCGGCTTCGATATGGACCTTGAGCAGAAGCAAATAAGAGATAGAATGGGCGACGAGCACTAGAGCTAAGAGAGAAGTGACATGCACGAAGAAGGTGTGGATGAAACTTTATAACGTTAAAAACCAGACAGAGGGCTCCAATGTGTCTGCGCCAACTGAGGGATTCCAAACCGGCTGCACGAAAGAGCTCGGATTTGGAAGTGCTCCACTCAGCTGCGCAGCCTTTCCGGTACAGGTATCGTCTAGCGACCTTTGCCTGAAGGCGGTCCAGTGACCCGGTATCTCGTGCAGGCATGCCACAGAACCAAAGCTGGCTAGCGTATTCCGCCACAGGCCGAACATATCCGCGGTAAAGCGCCAATATGGCGGCAGGCGGTAAACGAGAGGCCATGTGGCACAGCAGAACAATGCGTTGGCGAAATTTCGTTATCATTTGAAGGAAATGTGGCTGCCAGGACATGTTGTGAGCCAAGATGACTCCGAGGTGGCGGTGCTCGTTGAGTGTTGGGATGTTACTGTTATTAAGGGAGAAGGTGTAGGGAGGAGGGTCCGTTGAGGAGGAGAAAACCACATGTGCTGACTTCTCAGCATTGTAATCTCCCCCCACGGAGAGAGCCCAAGATCCACACGCGTCCAGGTCTTCTTGTACTTCGGAAGACGATGTGTTACCTAATGCTGTATCGTCGGCAAAGAGATACAGATCTGATTGCACTAACGAAGGCAGGGTGTTGATATATAGGAGGAATAAGGCTGGACCCAAGTGAGAGCCTTGTGGGACCCCAGCAGAGAGAAGACGGGGGTCACTCAGTGAGTCACTAACTCGAACCTGAATGCGTCTGTCCGTCAAGTAGTCTTCAAACCAGCGGGTGGTCGAGGTGTTGGCAAACGAGGTGAGTTTTGTGATAAGGTCGTGGTGTGAAACTCTGTCAAACGCTTTCGCGAAATCCAAGAATATCATATTGTATGTACAACGCCGGTCCAATGCAGAGTATATATTGTGTGTTAATACAAGGAGTTGATCAATTGCGGACCGTTTAGGAACAAATCCGAATTGTGTCTGACTGAGGATATTATTGTCCGTCAGGAAACGAACGAGTTGTCGGTTTACCAGCTTGTCAAAAAGTTTCCCAATACTGGGCAGGATAGAAATTGGACGATAACCTTCAGCTGAGTGCGATGGTTTTTTTGGTTTGGGGACTGGTGTGATGACGGCAGTTTTCCATTGACCAGGGAAGGAGCTTGTCCGAATGCAAATGTTGAAGAGGGTTGCCAAAGAA